TTCTCCCTAACCCTTTTAATCAAATCCAAGTGGACATCTGGCCAAAAAATTTACATTTATTTAAATTTAAACTAATTTTATTGCATTGCGTTTATGTATTTTAGCTTTTACCTTATTTCCTGCAGCTCTGATATCTGTACAGCACTTTGGTCACCCAGCTTGTTTTAAATGTGCTTTATACATACAGTTTAAATTGAGTTGGCTAAGACTTTTTGCTTCCGACGATAAATCGTGTAATCAAAGTGGTTTTAACTCGGCTAACGGCCCCTTGTAGATCACAAAACGGAGGTCTCACCAGGATCTTTGTGGTCCTCCCCTGGCGCCTGCTCTTGTTTGGTCGACAGGGTCCAGCTTCATTCTTGATCTGACAGTTAAAGGGAAGGAAATTTAATTCAATTAAAGCGTGAAACTGCACCAAAAACAGCACTAGACTCACATTACACCATGAGGTTTCATCACAGCATGGGAAAATCAATCAGCACTTAATCAATTTGAAGCTGATTTTTTCCTGGCTACTGAAAAGAAATTGGGATTTTTTATTCTCTTCCATCAGGGAAGAGTAAAAGGCAATTCCATCTTTTTATAAAGGGCTTTTGGTGTGTCATTAGACTACACTGGAGAGGACATTTGCCATGATTAGGCACTCTGGAAATAAAATTGCATAATTTCCCCTTCAAATATTCCAACACTTGAGCCAACAAGCAGCAGAGATGGCACATTATGTTGGCATGTTTTTGTTATGCTCATTCATTCATTCGTTAGGTTTACTGGAATTTGAAGATACTTTCCAGTTGAAATCACTTTATACTGAATTTGAAATATTTTCAAAAACTTCCAGATAACGGTGTAGAAACTCTGGACTTTGTGGTTTGCGTCTTAATCAAACTGATATTGCACCAAATCAGATTTCTGGGCGACACACCTGGATTAAATACACGAGTATTTAATTGATATTGGTTCGTAACAGTCTGCGCATGCGCTCCATTCTCCCTGCTGCTGGTTCGTCCTACAACTAACTGATGAAGATTTTTTTTTTTTTAAAGAAACGCACAGACTTTCCAAACCAAAAACGCCTGGATTTGACTTTGCGCCACTCTGTGCGTCACGTGGCTGCAGTTTACCGCCATCTGCGTCATCTGCAGCTGCTTTGCGGCAGACGGGAGGCCGGACAGGTGCAGCCGCTCCTTTACCGTGTGTCCGGCGGAGGAGGAGGAGGAGGAGGAAGAGGAGGAAGAGGAGGAAGAGGAGGGGGGGGGCGCCGCGTCCGGCGGAGGAGGCGCAGGACGCTCCGCCGGCTCCTGCGCACGCGCTGGGTCGCGCGCAGGCCGCGGCCCGGGCGCGCGCTCCCGGTAGGTGATGGGACAGGCGATGTGCGGGTTGACCAGCAGCCACAGGTTGGGCTTCACGAAGGTGTCTGGGGGGGGGAAAGGAGGCTGAAAAATATTTATTTTTGTGCTTCTCTTATGGAGCAACACGGAGGAGAGCGAAAACTAGACGATAAAACCAGGTTTTTGGGGATTTCCTGCAGAAAAGTGCAGGGAAACAGGTGTAGCATGACGTCATCCATCAGCTGGGAAAAGTAAACATCAGAATGGAAAATAAAGTTAAACAATTATACAGAGCAGAGCTTCAAAAAATAAAAACGAGGATCATTTTGACCTGCTGAAGCAAAAACAAATAAATAAAATTGTACTTTTTTCTTTAAGTAACGTTTTTGCTGCAGTGGGTCAAATTGATTCTTAAAATTAAATCGATTTTTCCCACTCAAGCAAAATTAATTTTTCATAGAAATGAATAAAAATAAATAAATTTTTATTTTTACTGAAGCAAAAAATAAAATTTTCCCCAAGTAACATTTTTTGCTTCAGTGGGTCAAGTTGATTTAAATTAAATCAATTTGACACACTCAAGCAATATTTGATTCTTTCAAATAAAAATTTGACCCACTTAAGCAAAAATTTTACTTTTTTTTTTTTTTCAAGTAACATTTTTTCTTCAGTGGGTCAAATGAATTTTTCAATTTTTTTTTTTATTTTCAATTTTTTTTTTTTTAACCCAGCCTGGTTCCACCCATCTCTCCTCCCCTGGTTTCACTGGACAGAGGACATCCCAAACATACAGAACCCATCAAAACTGTTTAGTCATTCTCCACAATTAAATTAGTCATCACAAAGCTGTTCCCCAGCAACTGTGGGCCCAAATCTACATACAACAGGGATATAAACCATGATAAACACCATGATATTCATCACCCTGCCAATTCAGGCTAGTCTGGACATGGATTCTGGACATTTGAGGGTGTCCTGGAACATCTTTTACTGGCTGATGCTGCTTATTTTTGGCCCTATGAAGCTTTTGTGGACCAAAGATGTCCGACTGGAGTCTGGAGGTAAAGGAGCATCAACTCTCTCAGTAAATAACACTCTTTAAGCAAACCAGCGGAGGGTTTTCACTCATCTGTGCCACGTGGGGCTAAAAGAACTCCCCGTTTTGCATGGGAACACGTGGCCCCTTTTGGTGGTTTATCTTTATTAAATAAGGGAACTCACCTGATGTTTTATCATACCAGATGAACTCGTCTTTTCTCCTTGAAGCCCTCGCACAAGATCTCTGCACCACATATTGATCATTCAGTTTTTCTTCTGGCAAAAACACAAAAGAACAAAACTAAATGAGAGACTTTGCAAATGAATGGAGTCGATTCCAGCTTTATTTCTCTCATTTCCTCCCCACTTATCAGAAACGGACCGGAATGGTTCCTATGCTTTTTGCCACTAACGATCATTTGCAACCTTAAAAAAATGATAAAAGCTAAGATCTTTTCACCGTGCCAGAACTGGTCGGTGGTGGTGGCCAGCCTCAGCTCCTTGTCCATGTCCCAGTCGGTCAGCCCCACAGAGCAGTGCAGGCCGGACAGCCCGGCTCTGGTCCTCAGCTGCAGGGTCATGGCTGTGTGTCCGGGCCGGGGGGGGGGAGCCGGACACCTGAGTTCTGAGGCACAAACACAGCAGCTGCAGCCTGATTACACTCATCAGGCCTGACGGGAACCAGCCGAGAAGCACACAGGAACCGGCCACTCAGGAGCTTACCAGCCACATCAGGTAGTTAACCCTATAAAGCCAAATGTGTCATATCTGATCCGGTTTCTTTTGGATGTGAGACTTTCTGCATCATTCAGTGGTAAAAGCTTTGCTCAAACCCCTGTTGTACACATTCAGATATACCTGATAACAGCCAGTAGAAGACCACACCAACATACATTTCTGACTTATTGCACGCTAATTTGATCAAATAATTTCTGTTTTTTTTCTTCATATGTTGTTGAGGGGCCAAAGAAAGACTTCAGACTAAAAAAAATCCAATATTCTTCCTATTTTTCTTGGATCAGGCTTTAAAGGGATATATCCTCAATCTGCTGTGCAGTAAAAACTCTTCCCTTACATCTTCTAATCAGGAAAAGACTTTCCTTTGAGGAAGAGAAACAAAGATTAGCTATAATGGGAACATTAATGGTGCCAGTTTACCAACAAAAAATGTGTTTTTTTTATCAGAAATCACCGTCCCTCATTCAGTTTTTTTTTATAATTTATTTTTACAATATTCAGACTCTTCCGTTACATCTTCTGATTAGGAAAAGACTCTGACTTTCCTTTTAGAAAGAGAAACAAATATTTGCTTTAACGGGGACATTAATGGTGCCGGTTTACCAACAATTTTTTTTTTTTTTTGTTAGAAATCACAGTCCCTCATTCTTTTTTTTTTACCATATTCAGACTCTAAAGTCCTAATTTGTTAAAAAATAAAAAAGCCAGTCTCTCCTGCATTTTTTAGCAGACGTTAAACTGCAATAATATTCAGTAAAAAATTTTAAACAGGAAATATCAGCCAGAAGAGTGAACATAGTCTGGCTTTACTTGAGGTTGTGACGAAATCAATATATATATAATCAATTTATTCCCTTCTCTCTGGTAATTTTCCACCAGTGAATATTTGAAAGGTTCTTTTTCTTTCTTGTGGAACTCTTTCAGGGTCTAGGAGAAAGTCTCCTTATATTTAATCTCTTAATGTTTTGGCTTGAGGATTGTTAGGTACAGGTGCAGCTTTCTCTATGATGGAGACTGACTTTAGTCCTCATTTTAGACTCAGAGAGGCTGTAAAATGATTTAGTTTTACTTTACTTTTGTCGTATGAACCCCTTGTATGTTCCTGCTGGTTGCTCTCACTTCATAAAGTTTTTCCTTTTAATAAATTCCTATTTCTTACTTCCTCAGATGGACTCAGATTTTTGCTTTAGAGTAGAATTTCCACAACAAGGTTTTTCTGTAAATAAACTCCCAAATATTCAGAAAACAAAATTAAGATCCAGACACGTTCAGTTTCTTCAGACCTGCATGGGAGCAGTTTAATCTGTCATCACATTTACAAGATACATTTCACAACAGACCAAAAATCAATTTATACAGCATGAGAAAACAAAATCATACAGTCGTCTTTAAATATCTAATATATCTTTATATATTCAAACATTTAGTCTCTCATTTACTCACAGGACTGGGCCTGGTCTCAGTACGTCTGTGACCCCCAGGAGCTCCTGCTTCCTGCCTCTGACACCTAACATCACACCGGGTTAGCTTTAGGGGAACCACAGGAGGGAGAAGACAAACACAAAGAGGCAGAGGAATGTTCACAGGAAGGGTTTTGGCTCACTAGAGTTTTTTAGTTTTATTTTAAGGTGATCAATTTGAGGAATTCGGCATGGTTAGTTCAGGATGACATGAGGCCAAAAGGAGGCCCGAAGCAGCCTGGTCTCTGAAAATAGCAAATTCTTGCTTTGCGTTTTTTTTTGTTTTTTTTTAACCGTGCCACGTAAAACAACACACTCATCTTCAGAGTTGACACACTTACAGGAGTCAAATCAATTCAAATTAGCGTCAGTTCTTTCCGGTGAATCCCCTCAATCTCCTCCCCTCTTTCAGACTCTGCTTGGAAACAGAGCGTGGAGGAGGAAGGGAACCGGAGGGGTTTCCGCCGGGCTGCGAGTCCAAAGGCTGGATGAAATGATGTGGGAGTGGGAGGGGG